CCCAGGTGCCCGGATGTTGACAACTCTTAATTACATATGTGGCTCACAGTCCTGGCTTAAATATTCCTCAAAAACATCATCTTAGTTCCCTCTACCAATAATATCACAATCAAACTAGACGAGCAAGAAGAAGCAGGCATTGCTGGAGTTATTGATGACACACGTGCCCTCCAGAGCGTGGGAAATAAACCCTACAAAGTGTCAGGGACCTGCCACATCAGTGAAAGTTTTAGGAGTCCAGTAGCCTGGGGCATGGGGAGTGGTACCTCATCAAAAGTAAAGAATAAGGAGGTGGGGGGGCGCCTGGGTGGCTCAGCCGGTTGGGCGCCTGACTTCAGCTCAGGTCATGATCTCACAGTTTGTGGGATCAAGCTCCATGTCGGGCTCAGCACTGATAGTGCGGCACCTGCTTGGGATTCTCTCTCTCCCTTTCTCTCTGCCCCTCCCCTGCTTGTGCACGCTCGCTCTCTCTCTTCTCTCAAAACAAATAAATAAACATTAAAAAAAAAAAGAAATTTGAAGCATATAAAAAGTAAAATAATATGATGAAGGCCCCAGCCCAGTGACCTTCCCCTAGCTTTACCACTTCTCAACCTGTGCCCCATATCTTCCTTCACGCAGGCGCCTGTGGTGGGGAGAACGAGGGTTTCCCCAAAGATGTCCATGTCCTAATCCCTGGAACCTGTGGATGTGTTTCTGCTACATGGCAAAGGGGGATTAGGTCGCAGAAGGAATTAAGGTTTCCCGACAGTTGGTTCTAAGATAGGGAGCTACCCCTGGATTTTCCACGTGGTCCCACAACAACCGCAAGGGTCCTTAACAGCTGAAAGATGATGGCCGGAGTCAGTCACAGAAAGATGTGACTAGAAAAGAAAAACACAGAGGATGCATCAGCGCTGGCCAGGAAGAGGGAAGAAGAATCCAGGAACCTAGGAGTGTAGGAGGCTTCTAGAGGCTTCTTAGAGAAGGGCAATGACGTGGATTCTCCCTGAGAAACTCCAGAAAGGAACTCAACCCTGCCAACGCCTTGATCTCAGCCCAGTGAGACCCATGATGGTCTTCTGGCCTCCAGAATGTCACATAATAAGGTAGTGTTATTGAAGGTGCTGTTTCTGTGGCAACTTGTGATAGCCACAAAAGACACTGATACAATGTCTCTCTCCACCAGACCACGGGGAGGCTTATCCATATGGCATTGTTTTGTTCATAAAGACTTCAGTGTGCATTTCCTTAAAGACAAGAGTTCTCTTTTAACATGACCACAATGCCATTGTTACACGTAAAGAATTAACATAATTTCTCCCGGCGCCTGGGAGGCTCAGTCGATGAAGCGTCCTACCTCAACTCAGGTCATGATCTCACAACTCGTGAGCTGGAGCCCCAAGTCGGGCTCTGTGCTGACAGCTCCGAGCCTGGAGCCTGCTTCAGATTCTGGGTCTCCCTCTCTCTGTTTCTCCCCCGCTCGCACTTGTCTCTCTCTTTCAAAAATAAATACAAAATTAAAAAA